GCGGCTTGTCCATGCCACCCGTCTTGCATCAGAATAGTGGCCTCAGTTGAGCTTGTTGAGAGCAGGGTTCTGTGTTCCCCACGCTCTGTGTAAGCTGTGTGAGACGGGGGAGCTGAAGAAGGTGGAGGGTCTCTACATGTGTTCCGAGGGTGTCTATGACTTCAGTCAGCAGAATAAAGGGGAGCCCTTCAGATATAACTGATCTTAGGACAATCCAGCCACACGCACGCCTGGCAAAAGACAGGAGTCGTTAAAAGTTGTCTAATGCGGGACAGCTAAAGCAATCCCTATGCGTGGACAGCCCCATTCTATCTTTTCTCCCTCCTCACATAACCAGCTGAACACACTGCATTCCCAAAGTGGTTATCATACTTTTATAAAAGGTCAAAGGACTTTTCCCCCAGAATACATTTGACTGCATATATATATTCCCAAAGTGATTGTCATACTTTTATAAAAGGTCAAAGGCTTTTCCCCCCAGAATACATTTGACTGCATATATATATATATATATAGAGAGAGAGAGAGAGAGAGACTTTCAAACTATTATCCCAGTTGCTTAGAGTTGCAACTCTACTATATTTCATTAAGCACACTGATGCCTGATTCCTTTGAAGAATAAAGGACTTATTATTATTATTATTATAACAGTATACAATGAAGCATTATAATGACAGAATACAAGTTTAGGTAGTACTTTGTAACATCTACAGGTGGGAGTTGTATAATAAAGGAGTGATTATTATTATTATTATAACAGTATACAATGAAGCATTATAATGACAGAATACTTTACAAGTTTAGGTCTTACTTTGTAACATCTACAGGTGGGAGTTGTATTTAAATTGCTCAGTGTTGACTGTGTTTTGGAGGAAATTTTTTGTTGGTTGGGTGAAAACAATTTGACATTTGTATCCTCCGTCTTTGCAGATATGGTGATTATTATTATTATTATAACAGTATACAATGAAGCATTATAATGACAGAATACTTTACAAGTTTAGGTCTTACTTTGTAACATCTACAGGTGGGAGTTGTATTTAAATTGCTCAGTGTTGACTGTGTTTTGGAGGAAATTTTTTGTTGGTTGGGTGAAAACAATTTGACATTTGTATCCTCCGTCTTTGCAGATATGAAAAAATGCTGAAGACCAAGACCCTCCCCATTTCCAAGCTTTCCTATTCTGCTAGTCAGTTCTACTTAGAAGCCGCAGCAAAGTACCTGAGTGCAAATAAGATCAAGGAAATGATGACCGTCCTCTCGAAGCTGGATGTAGAAGACCAGCTGGTATTCCTGAAGTCTCGGAGACGTCTTGCAGAAGCTGCAGAACTGCTGCAGAGTGAAGGTCGGAGAGAGGAGGCTGCCCTGCTGATGAAGCAACATGGCTGCCTCCTGGAGGCAGCCAGGCTTACTGCTGACAAAGACTTCCAGGCCTCATGTCTGCTGGGGGCTGCCCGCCTCAATGTGGCCTGGGATTCTGACATAGAGGGCACCAAGGCTATTCTGAGAGAAGCGCTGGATCTTTGCCATCAAACCAACCAGTTGTCTGGCATCGCGGAGGCCCACTTCCTAAAGGGGGTGATCCAGAGAGACTTTCAGAAGCTCAAGGAAGCCTTCTTCAAGTTCAGCAGTCTCAATCACTCAGCTGGAGTGGTGGAAGCGCTCTACGAAGCAGCCAGCCGGTGTGAGGTGGAGCCTGTGAAGGTTCTGGCCCTTGCTCCAGGCGGCTTAGAAGTCCTCCTCAGTCTAGTCAGGGCCCTCAAGAGAGAGACTACCAATGCTGAGAAGGACATGGTTAAGTCTTGCTTTGAGTTTTTTGGGATTTCCCAGGTAGATGCCAAATACTGTCAGATAGCTCAAAATGACCCTGGGCCTATATTAAGAATACTTTTTGATTTGGATGCGAGCTTGAAAGAGAAGAGGTCAAAAGACCACTTTTTGGTAACAACTGACCAGGTGAAATTAGCCCTAAATAAACTCCTCTTGAACAGGCTGTGTCGTATCACACAAAGCCTGCTTGGGAAATCCTACCCCGGGGTCTGTATGAGGTTTATCGTAGGCTTAAAATGCAATGATGAAAACTGTGAGGATTTTCACAGACCTTTGCGACGTGGTGAGGCCAGGTGTTTGGTCCAGGCGAAAATGCACCTGGTGGCGATCAACGGATTACTTTTGGAAGCCAAAAATGTATTCCCTAAAATCTTTACTGAAGAACTGGAGGAAATTGATTCTATTTTGTCTGCAGATAAGTATGGCCTTTGCAAATCCTTTCTGAACGTCCTCTTCCCGAAGCATTTCCATCAGAGAGTATTATCAGAAAACCCCATGGCATGTAAAGAAATCCTCAATCCAAATTACAAATCCTTCCGACCCTATAGGTTTGCTTTGAAAGAGTATATCCACTTTCTGTTTCAGAATGAGAAGGCACGCAACCGCCGGGAGTCCACCGACCTGTGGCTGAGCGCCATGCAAGCTTTCCTTCTCTCCTCCAGTTACCCCGAGGAGTTTGAGAAGCTGCTCCACCAGGAGGAGGACAACTACAACAGGGAGCTCAAAGCTCTGGAGTCTGAAAAAGAAGAAGGGGGCAGGGGGAGAGGCAGTAAGATGAAAGGAATAGAAGGGAGATTTGGCATGCTGGTACCCAACAAGGGCGATGAAAGCGTGAAGATCCATCTGTGCTTCATCCGGCTACTGGAGAATTGCATCGACCAGTTCTACGTGTACAGGAATCCAGAAGACTTCAAGAGACTCTTCTTTCGTTTCATGAACGTCCTCATCAAGAGATGTAAAGAACCTCTCATCCCCAGCATTGGCAACACAGTGGCCCTGCTGGAGTGCCAGTTCGTCCACTGCGGGGCGGTGCTGGCCCGCCTCTCGGGGAGCACCATCCTGTGCCTCCCCAAGAGCTACATCGCACTCTTGCACTACTGGGAGTTCCTGTTTAGCAAAAAGGACAAGGGGTTTGGTGACGTGTTCTCCATCATTCAGGAGTATAAACCAAAGGACGTGACAAGAGCCATTCAGAATTTCCGGTTCCACCTTTCCTACCTCGTCAAGGTGCTATGTGGCTGTGAGAATGTGAACTTCAATGTCCTGCTCGATGCCTTCAGTGACGTAGACTATGTGGTCTCTGGTGAGGCAGAGCGGACGTTGGTGCTGTTCCTGGTGATGCTAGTGAAT